AAAATGAACGACTGGCAGGAAAGTTGACATTTTAAACTTTAATAAAAAATCAATACAGGGCTTTAGAATATCGATACAGTATCGGGAAATGAAATATCGCGATATTTCAGTGTATCGATATTTTCTTACACCCATACTAGATGCCCAGTTCACTTATAAAAAACCTATCGTTTAAAATGAGCGATCTAGATCGTACTACTTAAAAAATTAAAACACCAAAACCATCTTTAACTTGTTTAATTTTATTAGCATGCATTAGACAGTTTTTGTTTATTTTTTATCTTTAAGCATTTCCTTGTCTGTTGATGTAATGACCATCTTAAGTGGTAATGAAGTAGTGCTTGTTTTAAGCAAACAGTTTTTAGGCAAAGAAACAGCATACTATCACAAGCATGGGGAAAGGCAGAGTCCAATCTTGGCATATTAAATAATGATTAAAAAAAAGCTTCAGCTTTAAACTTTAGTAATTAAACTGATTTAGTGAAAATCAATATGGATTTCTGATGAAATGTCCACGTGTGCGTAAACAAAAGTACCAGAAAGACACAAAATAAAGTGAGTCTAGCAGGTTTGTCTTTTAGAATTTTAGAGAAATATTTTGTAGTTGCTCCTGCATTATAAAGCTTATTTAAAAAAAAAACATAATCAACAAATACACRCAGCACGTGTTTACCTGATTCATGAGAGAAGGAAAGGAGACCAGAACCCTCAAGTCGATATAAATCGGCGTCAACAAGCCGCTCTTCAGCTTATATTCGCCAAACTTCACGGCGTTCACATCGTGGAGTTTCAGAATCAAATTATYGATGGATGCGTTGTCCATTATTTAGTCTTCACGAGTTACAAACAATCCGTCAACAATCCTGTTCTCCTAGCGGCGACTGGCAGACGAGGAAGGAAAATCACTTCCGTTTCATTTTCAGAATAAAACAAACTTGTGGATTATTAACACGCAGACTAGGAAAAAAATATTTAAAATGTTTCTGTAAAATATAGTCAACGTTAATCCTCTTAACAAGCAGCCTTAGATCATTTGAATATTCCGAAGGGGTAAAATAAAAGTCTATTATGGGACGTTTACTCTTTTACTCTGAAAATTTATATTTCGGAAGCTGGACAAAAACCCGCCTCTTGTCGCATAATAATAGTCGTCACCCAGCCCGTTAAACTGGTTCTACACGCCCACATACCACTACAATCAAACAAACAGATTAATAAGTTAAAAAGTGTCAGTGTTTTCTTACTAAAATGTTTTTATATAAATCTAATCAAACTAAAACTTTTAAATTTTAAATAACCCATAGCAAAAATTAGTATAGCCATTAACTCATTTTAAACTAAAAAATAAAAGTATACTTCCACTTTACTTTTTCTGTACTTATTTGAGATATAATTAACCAAGTTTATTTTACACTATAGGTTTTGCTTGTAGTAAAAGTAGGCTACTAAATGTTTAAGTATACTTAGTCTGTTCTAATGTTTAAACTTTTGGCCAAGGTAAACTTTAGTAGTACACTGGAAGTACATTTTTCACACAGACTGGTTTATTTGTAGTATATTTCAAGATTAAATTAAAGTACAGGTGCTGGTCATAAAATTAGAATATCATGAAAAAGTAGATTTATTTCAGTAATTCCATTTAAAAAGTGAAACTTTATATTATATTCATACATTACATACAAACTCATATATTTCAAATGTTTATTTCGTTTAATTTTGATGATTACAAATGACAACAAATGAAAATCTCAAATTCAGCATATCAGAAAATTAGAATATTACTGAAGACTAATAAAAACAAAGGATTTATAGAAATGTTGGCCAACTGAAAAGTATGAACATGAAAAGTATGAGCATGTACAGCACTCAGTATTTAGTTGGGGCTCCTTTGGCCTGTATTACTGCAGCAATGCGGCGTGGCATGGAGTCGATCAGTCTGTGGCACTGCTCAGGTGTTATGATAGCCCAGGTTGCTCTAATAGTGGCTTTTAGCTCTTCTGAATTGTTGGCTCTGGTGTATTGCATCTTCTTCTTCACAATACCCCATAGATTTTCTATGGGGTTAAGGTCAGGAGAGTTTGCTGGCCAATTAAGAACAGGGATACCATGGTCCTTCAACCAGGTACTGGTAGCTTTGGCACTGTGTGCAGGTGCCAAGTCCTGTTGGAAAATGAAATCTGCATCTCCAAAAAGTTGGTCAGCAGCAGGAAGCATGAAGTGCTCTAAAACTTCCTGGTATGTGGCTGCGTTGACCCTGGACCTCAGAAAACACAATGGACCAACACCAGCAGTTGACATGGCACCCCAAACCATCACTGACTGTGGAAACTTTACACTGGACTTCAAGCAACGTGGATGAAGTGCCTCTCTTCTTTTCCTCCAGACTCTGGGACCTTGATTTCCAAAGGAAATGCAAAATTTACTTTCATCAGAGAACATGACTTTGGACCACTCACCAGCAGTCCAGTCCTGTTTCTCTGTAGCCCAGGCAAGACGCTTCTGACGCTGTCTGTGGTTCAAGAGTGGCTTGACACAAGGAATGCGACAGCAGAAACCCATGTCTTTCATACGTCTGTGTGTGGTGGTTCTTAAAGCACTCACTCCAGCTGCAGTCCACTCTTTGTGAATCTCCCCCACATTTTTGAATGGGTTTTGTTTCACAATCCTCTCCAGGGTGCGGTTATCTCTCTTGCTTGTACATTTTTTTCGACCACATCTTTTCCTTCCCTTCGCCTCTCTATTAATGTGCTTGGACACAGAGCTCTGTGAACAGCCAGCCTCTTTAGCGATGACCTTTTGTGTCTTGCCCTCCTTGTGCAAGGTGTCGATGGTCGTCTTTTGGACAACTGTCAAGTCAGCAGTCTTCCCCATGATTGTGTAGCCTATAGAACTAGACTGAAAGACCATTTAAAGGCCTTTGCAGGTRGTTTGAGTTAATTAGCTGATTAGAGTGTGGTACCATGTGCCATCCATTTTGAACCTTTTCACAAGATTCTAATTTTCTGATATGCTGAATTTGAGATTTTCATTTGTTGTCATTTGTAATCATCAAAATTAAACRAAATAAACATTTGAAATATATGAGTGTGTATGTAATGTATGAATATAATATACAAGTTTCACTTTTTAAATGGAATTACTGAAATAAATCTACTTTTTCATGATATTCTAATTTTATGACCAGCACCTGTATACTTAGACTGTTACTTTCAGTATACTTCTAAGCATACTTTCATAAACTTATTGTGAGCCAATATAGTTCTAGTAGTAGGCCCATACTTGTTAGGCCTACTACTAGAACTATATTGGCCCATTAGGGAAATAACCTACACTTTTATATACTGTAATATACTTAATGACATTTACTTAAAGTATACTTCTTTTTGATAAGTTTACAAACTTAAAAAGACAGTATAACAGTATACTTAAAGTATGCTTTTTATAAACTAAAAAAGACCCAATTTAATACTTACAAACAAGTATTAAATCTGTTTACTTTCTAATACACTACGAGTACATGGCGCCTAATACTTGGTATACTGTACTTAAACTTATACTCGTGTATACTTCAAGCATATTACTTTTTGCTAGAATATAACTTTATTATATAAATTTATTTATACAGTAATTTTAAATATCTTCCAAGTCCAAAGCATGCATTGTTGGGAACAAAGCATTTTTAAAAGGAACGGTTTAACATGTAGAATTAGGTCTATGATTTTAAATGTGACAAATAATTAACTACCACTCATATATTTAACATCACCAGTGGAAATAATTTATAGTATTAATATCACAATATTATTTAATTTCATTACAACACACTGAAACCTGGTTTCTTTTGTTGAGTTTATTAAAAAGATTTTGTCCACAGTAGTTCAGAGTCTGGCACCAAAACATGTAAAAAACAAGTTAATCAAAAAATCAAAAAAAGTGTACACCCCCAAGCATTGAGCAAAATGCCTAAATAAGAAAAGGGGATAAATAGAAAATATAAACATGTAATTAAAATATATTTCACTTGAAAACATTGCAAATTTTCCAACATTTCAACTTTTGGTCAGCAAGCTTTGATTTTAACACTTGTACAGGTGTTATATTTTGTATTAAAAAAACAGAAACCTTATGCTCTACAGATGACCACATATACATGAACTGAAATGAAATTACAGCTACAACAGCTGAGCAAAATAACATCACATGGAAAGCAGCAGTGCTCATCTTTTTTTTTATTCTAATGAAGAAAACCACAAAAAAATACTGATCATCTTGTTTGTCTGGATCAGTTAAACTGAATTAAGTAGTTGTAAGTAACGAAAACAAACAAACAAACAAAAAAATACTGTATGGCTTAAGTGTTAACAATTTATCTAATGTAGAAATGACCAGAAACCCAGAAAAATACATTCTATAATTAACTAAATGACTTCTGAATACAAAGTAGTCACAGATAATCTTCTAAGAATAAAACAAACATAAAATTTCAAAAAAAGGTGGCTGAAGTCATTATGAAAAAATCTCATCTTTTAAATTTTGTTTTCTTTTGGCTTCAATACAGAAAAAAATACAGAGCAGTTCTGCATATTGTGCGAGTGTGTGGACGCGTTTTTGCTACATCATGGCGACCATTTTCCAGAAAAACGCAGCCTTGTAGGACCCAGCGCTCCTATTGGCCCCAAGGGTACAGATGATGATTTTGGGTGTGGGGTTAGGTTTAGGGTAAAGGGTCAGGGTTAGGCTGTAGAAATGACTGGAAAATGAATGGAAGTCAATATAAAGTCCCCATGAGGATAGAAATAAACAAATTGTGTGYGTAGTACAATGTTTTGTGAAGGCGAGTTTAAAGTGATGAAGCAACAGAACTTTAGTTGCGACAGAATTGTGTTCAAAAATCCAAAGAAATTCAGCTTTGTTATTGAAAAGTTCAACACGATCAAACCCACATTTCAAAAAAAATAAAAATAAAAAAATGGGCAGATCTTGGATAAGGCACAGAGTTTGTTGCTGTGAAAACCTTGAAAGGCACAAAGCTGACATAGTCAGAGGAGGAAGCTTCCATCTTCAAATGATGACATCGTGAGAGGTTTCACTTCTCAGTTCCTCCTTCCTTACTTCTCCAGCTCCGAGGGACTACGAGCGTCGGCTAGCAGCTCTGGACTTAAACATTCAATCGGACACTGGATGTTCTGAAATATACAGGAAGAAAACGACGTTAGAAACAGTTTAGCTTTTGGACAGCACATACAGTAAACAAAGATATGCCTTCATTAAAAATAAAAACGGAACAATATTTCTGAAATGTAACACACACTACGGCAAACTGTCTGTGACRCTGACCAGTTTGCGGAGAGCGTTTTCTCTGTAGCGGTTAAAAACGTCGGAAGAAACGGGCTGAAGGAGATCTGCCTCCACGTTAACCTGCCCTCCAGGCCTCCTGCAATTCTCACATCGCCATCCCTTTAAAAGAACAAGAAGTTAATGAAAATACAGCTACATGAACAAAACACAATAATCATTTTAAAAAAAAGTATTCCTTTTCTCGTACCCGTTTTGACACCCACAAAGCAGCGCAGCTTTTGTTTCTTACCTGCTGACCTCCATAACAAGTACAKGTACAGATGGCACCCATGTAATCCTTCTGCCACTGGTTTCCAACCCGGTACATTTTACCATCATCATAACACGTGGACTCATCTGGAGAATTAACATTTAGAGATCAGTTGAAGTACACTATTGACATGTGTCAACCAATAAAAACAGTGTTTCATTTTGTAACAACAAAAAAAGGCAAGTGAATAACTACAAGTACTCTCTTAAAGTAGACGTGTGATGCTTTAAATTTTTTTTCACATTTAAATCATTCAGTTGGGGTCTTTATGAAGTGAAACTAAAAAGCTTTGGTCTGAATTCCTTCTTATTCTAATTTACCAGCCCCTCTTTCACCCCTTTTCTGATGTTTGTTTCAAAGCAGCTGGTTTTGTTATTGTTCTGTTTAAGGTGCTTCAAGCTCCGCCCCCCTACGGCTTCCAGACCACTCCACTCCGGTTTGAGAGAGGGGGTAGTGATGTTTGATACTGCCAATTTTCTTTCCGATACCGATACAGAGTAAAACTCAGGCTKGTATACTGATGCAATACTGATATTTTGCGTAAACACACATAACCTGGTAGAGCTAAAAAAGTAGTGTTTTTCAAATCTTTTTATAAAAAATACAAGACAGAGTAATTTATTTATTCATTTAAAAGTCTTTCTAACCCTTACCATATTATAKTTTTGATTAGTGAATAAAATTGTGACTGACTGAGCAAATGCAACTGCACTTATGCATCATCCAAGCAGAAGGAAAAGTAGTTCCTACCAACTGCATTTGATTTAGACAAGATTTCAATAATGTAGTTATTTTCCACTGTTTTTCTGCTAATTATATACATTACCTGAAATGACCAAAGTTTCAAAGTATTGATATTTTGATTTTAGTTTAGATTCTAGATCATAAAGTTCTGAAGACTCAYAAAGTTCTTAGACTCCAAGTCTACAACAAAATGTATGTAACAGATAAAAAAATGTGAATTGTGCGTGATACGTTCCCTTTAAATAATACAAACATCGATTTGATGAGACGCGACTGCAAATCTGTGACTTAACTAATGAACTCAATTCAGTGTCATAATATTTTTCCGTACATCACCRCAAACTTACGGGGAACACATTTGAATTCTCCTTTGCCGTTGCCCAGGCAGGTGCAGCTTATCATGTGGCCGTTCTCGCCACGGCGGTCCCACTTTTCTCCCACGCGGTAATTATTACCGCCGTCATGGCACCACTCTGAAAAAAAAAGTGAGCAGCGGCAAACGAAGAAAAGGAGCGATGAGAGCAGCAGGGACAAAGATAAAAAAGAAAGCAAAAAAAAAAGGCACCCATCGTGGTCAGACACAGATTTTGTTTAGGGGACACAAACAGATGTTTTTGATTCTCAGATTAATGTACTAAATATCATCCAGTGGTTGAAGCTGAACTTGGCGGCTGATCTCAGTTCCTGGTATTGTCAGATTAGTGCGGGAGATGACGGACAATACAAATCACTGAGATTGAAGGTTAAGAGATTCCTGTGAAGTTTACACAGCTAAAGGCGGAGCAAAGACATCATCATGGGCAGCTTTTAGACAGACTAAAATGCAGTAAAAACATTTATTATAAACATGAAACTCTAATATTTTCAATAGCCGAAATCATTGCTGTAATAGATCCAACTACCCATGTTGATATTTTATTATTCCAAGCTGGAGCACGTAGAACATTCACTGAATGTTKCTGCTCCTGTTGAACTACAGCAAAGGAATTTATAACATGTTTAATAACCTACTTTATGGCTAACACTGATTTTCAGTCTCATTGTAAATCCTGCTTATAAATTCCTTTTTGGTAAATCACATAGAATTATTGGATTGGTTGTAATTCTATGGTGCGCTGCCGGCTAAGACTCGTGTTAGTAAGCCACTCACTGGATGAATCACACCTAAAATGTCCACTGCCGAGCCCCAGGCAGCTGCACCACAGCTTGAAGCCCGCCTCAGACATGCGCTCCCACTCGGAGCCCACCTCGTGGTACGTGTGTGTGAACGTGTCGTAACACACATCCCGGTTGGTGGTAACAGGAAGGTCGTCTGGAACTAATTTAGGAAAAAGAAATAAGTTAGAATCAATTTATTTGCTTTTATAATGCAAACAGTTTGGGTTGATTTGTACATGTTCATGAAAATATTCTATTTGTCTGTGTGTGCTTGTGTATGGAGGACCGAATCGGACATAATTAGAAACAGAAGTAGAAATATGGACCAATAAATGGATATACACTTACAATGCACCAATTAAATTAGAAAAGGAGAACTTTACCTTATGTTTTCTAATTTAATTGACCTTCGTATTTATTTTTCCAGC